TATATATTTAGGGTAACATCCCTGAGTTATCCTTGCTAACGTACTCATCGTTTCCGTCCCTATATTCCCAAAAAATCGCTAAAAAAATTGTAACTGTTCCTATAACAATTACAACAACTTTATTATTATCTTGATAACTTTCTGAGAATCCGCAAGAAAACTACCTGAACAGAGAAAATCCATGTATCTCTACGCTCCCACATGCCTACAATGGCTAATTGCTTTTATCGTATAGATTCGAAGGCATAGAAAAACGGAAAGCCATGTTCCATCTCACCGAAAATACAGGAATCCATTTAATGCAATGGGAGTAAAGCGGCACTAGAGAAGGCTTTGGATAGACTGAGTCGATTAATAAATCAAACAGTAACATGCAGGAAGTTTCAGCTTTTTCTTTTTTTATTTCTGCATGTGAAGTGTGCGCGGTTTTAGGGAAGAGAGGATCACATTTCTTCATTGAGGACTTTAGTACTTTAAAAAATCAAAGGAGTCCCAAGCTTGTACGGATTAGGAGTTGGCATCCTCTCTATCCTATCTATCTATATCTATCTGTTTTGCTTTTCTAAGAAACCAGGTAAATTATGTTTATCGGCACCTACCAGTCAGCATCTATTAATTGAAATGCTGAATTTATATGTATTGTACAATTTCGCTGCGTTCAACTACACATTTACATAACGGGTCTAATTTGAAGTTTTTCCCGTGTTTAAAGACCTTTGTATTCGTGTTCTATTTATATAAAAATCGATCTTATTCAAGTGATTTTTGTTCAAGCACGTAAACGTAAGACGTCTAGCGCCATAGCCGTAGATAATTCGTTGTGCTGACAAAGGTGTTTATATCTGTACAGCTAATAAGAATAGCTGGGTTACCGCACATCCCAATCCAATTTTATCCAAATTACCAATTTAACATTTATCTAGCTGTAGCAATAGAATATAAGAATCTATCTTATAACAGTACTTGCGTTCTAAACGCTGAGCACAGAAATACCCCGAATGATAGACGCGGCGCCATCTTAACCCGATAAAACCGAGTCTCTTGAATTTTCAACTACTGAACAAATGTCTAAAGTACTCGCATACCATTATATAGTTGATAATGCTACAGCGGACCGGCAATCGTAGGAGTCCGTCAAATTTCTATCGTTAATAAAAGTACTAATTATATTTCTGCAAATGTTATGTACTAAATTTAAATGTAGAAAAACTCTAGTAGTGTTTTCTAAAGCTTCTACAGTTGGGCATCATTTCTCTTTAAGGTTAATGCACACCTATTTGAATGTGTCGCCATCGTATACGCATGGGAAGAACTAGAGACATAATGTCGTGTTGACAAATCTCGGCGCTGGAAAAAAATTACCATAGAAACTAAAAACCAGGCAAGAGAGCATGACGATCAAGACAAAGAAGACAAGGCTTGGACTGTTCGTATGGTCCCTAACGTTGTACTCACATAATGATTCTGAAGACTTTTTCATAAAGAAGATAGCAGAGGGGTTTATAATAAAAAAAAAAAAAACGGAAACGTTTATCTACGGCCTAAGTTAAATGGAAGTATTGCCTTAATTAAAAATTACATGGAAATATACATATGTTGGTTTTGCCCTTGCAGAAAGTGGACCTGACCAATGAATTGGTAGAGCAGCTGATTACGCAAACAAAAGAAATGCTGCAGCCAAACCCAGCAACCCGCGCGAAGCTGACAGTGAACGCAAGGCTTAGAGGTCCAGGGACCACGGCTGGCGCCACCTCTCATGCCTACCCACAACCAGAAGGTGTTCTCGGAGACACGATGGTCAAATATGGCACCGATCTCGGTGTTGAATCCGCATTCGGAAGAAGTCTCATCGAGACCGGTGAGGCTTTCCTGGCACATACATACTAGAAATGTCGTACACACACATATCCTAATAATGCACACGAGCACGCCTATACCTGAGAATGCAATTTCTAGCCGTCGAAAGCAACGACATAGTTTACGTGTAATGGCTCTAAAATATTTTTGCTCCCCGTATCCTGGTCTGATTCTGATCTGAAATAGCTTTCCTAACAGGTTTACATAATGGGATATATATAGCAAGCTTATTTGAATGTACGCTAGGAATCGTCAAAACATGGTTTTTCTATTTGGAATTTTGCTTATACATCATTTTTCAGTACTGAAATAAACCGAATAAGAGCTAGAAGCTGCACAAAATCCTTGTGATTATGTGGAACTACTTTTCATTACATGAGTCCTAGTAGCTACCGGCTAACGTTTTTATAGCCTTAAATTCTAGCATGCCGAATGTGTAGTAGTTATAGCTGGTCATAATCACTGCAGTAGTAAATTTCCTAATAATCTTCAGTTGTTCTACGACGGTGAACGACGACCGGACAAACTGCAAACGCTTGGCGAATAGGATTTTGTTAGCATCTGTACATCTACATACGCTGCTGATAGTCTTTTCCTCGCTGTTCCGAACCTTTCTATTATACACTTAGCACCGCCGCCAGTAATCGAAGTGGTAAAAGCATCAGCAGGGGTATTCAGACAAAGGGTTTAAGCGCCCCTATTCGACAGTGATGTTGTTTGCTGTGAATGGGTCACGCCTGTTCCACATTCGTTGAATTTTTTCATTAGGTAAAATGAGCGTATCCCATCTGCGGGAAGCCTCACAGGACATCTGTGGCGGCTGACGACTCAGCGAAAAAAAACCTATTATAGCCGTTGGGTCAATGCCGTTCAAAGCAATTTAGTGGATTAGAGAACTACGATATTTTGGTATATTATATACTAAATAAGCCACTTTTCATTGTTTATACATTGATTTGTATTATCAAACCTAATCTCGTTATCGATAGGATGAGTCGACGCTAGGAAGCGTTGCACCATCGATGGCCATGTTCAGAGCTTCAAAGCGATCAAGACGGCGCAGACCTAAATTTGCGGCTGATATTAGTTTTTAATTCTATTTTCTTCCGCCCAAGCAGTAATTAAGGAAGGCATGAGTCCGTGCGTTGTAGTTGAGCCTACAAGATGTACTGTCGATTTGCACTACACACATATTCGAGGCCCTTGAGGCACTGGCGTGTCCTTTTCAGGCAATGTCCTATAATAACAAATTTCTCTGATACTTATTACGCATTTAAACATCATATTGCGCCCGAATCTATTCGGCATTGCCATGTAAATCGTCTACCTGTCGTCGATCTCGTGCTTAATTCTTTTTTGGTGGACGTCATAAACCAATCTGTCCTGGTAAAGTTGATCGTCGTGGCTGGAACGGTTTTGCTATTAAACGTCGCATGGATTAACAGTGTTTTCTTTATATTTAATGTTTTTGTTGCTAGAAGGGTGCATAATCGGGCGGATAAATAGCGCGTTATCTATTTTACTCTAAAGTCTCTGCGGCCACAGCAGCTCGTTCCTATTGGTAATATGCCAGGGTGCTTGTGTCGTCTTCAGCTTTGAAATTTTCGTTCTTAAAACGATTACACCGATAGCAAATGACTGTTGCACTGAAGGCCTCCCTGGCCTGTGTTTTCTCACTCTCAGATTATCTTTACCAGCGCTCTCATTTTCAAGTAACTGTAATTATTAAATGTTAATTTTCTTTTTAAAAGAGTAAAAATAATTGTACAGTTGTCCCTGATTTTCTGATGACACCAAATTAGCATTTAGTCGCAGATAAACAAAAATTAATCCTACCAAATTTCGGCGGTTAATGATGCGTAGTTTAAAAGCCATTCAAATGTCTTAACAACCTCTGACAACGAACTAAAAAGATTCTGTAATCCCCTAGTCACTGCCGTTTCGGTTTATCATTATTTGAGGAACCATTGGTTCTTGTAGGAGGCCTTAATTAATATCCATAGTAGGACAGTGTATACTTAGAATCATCCTGCGAGGTGATTCCCGTGATAATAGAGCTCTAGTAAATCTCACCGATATTACGACAACGGTTCCAGATTCATTGTTTAGCTGGCCGTCGTGTCGAATCGCTCTGGGTGTGACACAGATTGCCGGGCTACCTGATGTAGACGCGGCGGCCTTCGCTCGCCGTGGAATACACAGGTGACTGAGCTGGTGGTCACTCACTTTACAAGGCGGTTGCTCAGTTGATTTCCGCGACAATGAAGTGAGCGAATCTTACAATCGTGTGCCCATGGATACGGAGCTATCGGATTGACAAAAAAGGAATACAGGAATAGACTATATACGGCTGAGCGGATTCAGCTGACGTCAAAGGAGAGAAATTAGTAGTCGCAAAGGACTACAGTAAATCGTCGCGTTTTATGTTAGAACACTCGTACCTAGAAGAGGGGTCCTTTGAGCGTGTCGCCCAGTACTCGAAACGATTTCGCCAGGAAGAGTAGATATGGTTGTTCCTTTGTAGCTTAAGAAGATGATGCATGAAAATATATCGGTTATAAAACTCAAACGGTAAACGAACGGCAATCCAGCATCACCCCAGAGAAAGAGAGGAAGGAGTGAGCAATGGAGGTACCATAAACAAGCACTATTGCCAGGTGCCATAAGATGTGACCATAAGACATGGACGTAAGCGGTCTGAAACAAGAAAGGTTTTTGCACGAGGAGGGGGGCCGAATGCAGGAAATGGACAGACATTGGAAAAGCAACGGAACGTTGGAAATGAAGAAAGTATTCCTGGGATACAATGTCGATATGGTTGATTGAATAAAAACCAAAGTATCCGTCGGGTATATATTTGGTAAAAGAAAATTGTATTAATAGTGTAAAAAGAAAAGAAAAAAAAGTGACTGCCGTTTGTAACCAAGCGTGTAAGGATAATGGACGATGCATTCATGTACGCTTGAGGGTTAGATAGTGTGTGAAGTAATTTTTTTTCGCCTACTTCAGATATATGTTGTGACAGTTGATGAGGTTTCCGTCCGCGTTGGCGAACCAACAAAATAAATAGGGCCGTGCTACTTGAACGACCTTATGCTTTGTTTGCATTGATCGCAATGACCTATAATTATACATAAGTTATAAAGACCGATGGCTCCATCGTATTATGAAAGCACTGGAGAGCCTTTTGCCTTATGTTGGAATACTATCTTTAGTGCTTTGTGAAACTTTTCATCTCCACGTTACCTTTTACAAATACGCACAGGCAATACGTATGCTGCACTGCGGCATTCTGTAACCGTTTCGTTTGTATGGCGCTCCTATTTTATGGGAGCGTCTTAAATTTAGCAGATAGTGTGCTGCTATAAATGGTGCCGTGAATCGATAGCGGCGGGGGATCTAAGGTCACTTCAAGTATCTGTGTTCGCGTGCACGCTTTATTCAGGTAGACCAGAAACTAAGACGTGTTCACCTCCCGGGGAGTCCCGGGGGGGGGGGGGGGGTCAAGCCTGAGTACAGAACGTTAGTAATTAAGCGGGTTGCTGCAATAATGGGTTAAAACTCTTCAACAAGTGATAAATTTAACATTCTGTAACATTTGTTAGTTCGAGGGCATTGCGGCCAGAAGCGGACAGAGTGATAAAGGGCAAAACGTTTTGGGAGGACGTGGCAAGCTGAGGTCGTTGCTGACGATGATAAACATTAGGAACAACAGAACTCGCTGAAGGCGCAGCTATGCCATGTCGTCATAGTACTTTATAGTGTTAAACATTCGTCGGATGCAATAGCGATTGGCTCCGAAGTGCAAACAAATGAAAAAGACGGTGATGGGGCATCGAGAACGCGGTTTTGTGTAATCGGATTTCTTTCGTTGCCGAATTTAATTTTGTGCGAGCCTTTCGGTGAGTGAATGTGGTTTCCATGACGACAGGGGTCAAGTAAAAACGCTTGAGGGTTAGACAGTGTGAGAAGTAATACACGTGATAAAACAATAACAACCAAAGTTATTTGATGTTTGAAAGCACAGATACATATATTCAAAATCTGTTTGTACAGGCATATCAACCTGATCTGTTATATTTGTGAATAATATGCTCGTATGTCGCAAACAGTTGTTGTAATATTAAGACAGCGGCAACTGATATCAGTCATCTTTGCGCTGTGGTCCTTCGCCGTTTGTTTTGTTGTCACTGTAGAGGCTAAAAACGTTTGCCCTAGCACAAACACTCTGTCCACACGTGAAGCATTTTTTTGTGCACGATGGATCGGGTTATCGTAGTTTTCGAAGAAAACGAGGGCATCTTATGTTGGCGGCATTTAGTCGAACCCCTTTTTTGCGGTGTGCATAAGTAACAGGATGGTCAAATCCACTTTTATACACGTTGCCCTTAGCGCTTCATTTGATGATGGCAAGACGCCCTTTAGCGATGTTTGGTCGGCCATTAGCCGTAAACAGGTAAAATATATGGTGGCCCACGTTGCTCAAGCGTGATCCTTCGTAAGCCCATGGTTCTTGCTGTATTTGTTCTACAAAATATATTACCTTTGTCTGTTATCTACTGAGAAACGCGTACAGAACAGTATCTGTTGAGCATAAAATGAACAAACTTACAGAGGGAAAATCCTTTTTTTTAATACCAGCTAACAGTGTTATTCAGAAAGAGGTTTGCTAGTGACATCTAAGGACCCCATTTAGGTTGATCGTTGTTTGTTGTGATTTAAAACTTCAACGAATCGTTACGTCTAACAAATTCGTTGCAGGCGAGTCCCTCCGGCAGCTGGCAGATATTAAGTACTCGTTGGAAGACAATGTCAAACAGAATTTCCTCGAACCGCTAACACAGCTTCAGTCAAAGGATCTCCGGGATGTGATGTTCCACCGTAAGAAGCTTCAAGGCCGACGTCTTGACTACGATTGCAAGAAACGAAAAAGAACAACAGGAGGGCACGTTACCGACGAAGAGATGCGAACTGCCGGAGAGAAGTTTGAGGAAAGCTTCAACCTCGCCTCACAGGTTCGGAACACAGTAACTTAACTCTACTTTGTCCTTACGATTAAATCCTTAGGCTGTATGATTACTGATTGTGAGTATTTGTTTTAAGCTGTGTGATTTCAGCTGTCTAATATGCATCACTGACTATTGAAAGAATAGAACTCGTATGCCTTTGTTTACAACGGTGTAAAAGCCTATGATATTATTCATCTTCCTGCCTGACTTTTAAATGTAAACATTATTATCATTAGGCTGCTTGAACTATTTAGGACGCGTCGCAAAACACTCGTACGTTTGTAGATATGCATTTGCTCTATCATTTCAAGCTATAAGATGAAGTGAAGCAATTCTTTATATGCGTAGCCTTATTTACTGTTAAGCTAAACAGCTCAGCGTACATATAATAGTGTCTGATATTTAGAGCAGTTGTCACGTTCCGTCCCCTGATCCAGCCGCTAGCCATTCTCGGGACAGTAAGCCGAAAGTGATCTGTTGATGCAAGCATGCAAATCTTAGAAAATGAAGGTAGACGCGTGAAACTAAAAGCTATCTGCGCCGTACGGAACTCTCCTACTGCAATCGTAGTTTAGGGCAAGGGGACTGACACACGAGCTAGGAAAGCATATCTTGTTGATTTGCATTTAGCAGCGGACTTTCTCGTGTGTGGCGATCTTTCAGTCAACGAGAGGGATCGACCCTTATTTCTGACGACTACAAGTGAAGATAAATATTTGCTACTATCATTTTTGTACGTTTTGGCACAAGCAGGTGAATTCTTGATTCGTCCAGTCGTACTCCACTACGTGGGTTTCGATCGTCTTTACTAGAGCTATCTCTAAGGGCTACCTGTTCGCTTAAGCCAAAGAAGTACACGTGCAAAAAATTACAGGATATAAGCTCTTTAATATGCAGAGAACAAAGAAAATTAAAGGTCCTAGCTAGAAACCAGTTACCTCCGTTTATTGGCTAATAGTACCTGGTGGTAAGGAGGGCTCTTTACGTCTCAGTTAATACTTCGAACCGTCGCATTGTCGTGTGCAATTCCGATAAGGTGATGCGTAATAAGCATACTTTGCTCACTCTACAAGCTGTTTCCTATACTTTTTATTTTCTTTCGTTGAAATGTTTCCCTTCATTTGTTATCACCAGTAGCCTTAGAAAAAATAATATCGATAATATAAAATAATTATATATTATTATAAGTTATATTTCCTGGGTTTGATGGCAAACAATTCGCAATGACCACAGGCTTCGAGGGTCGCTTTCCTCTCGTCAACTTTTCCCTTTATGCCGGTAAACGTGATCGTATGAAGGCCCGTCATGGCCTGCACATTTCATCCAAGTCTATGTGATGACACCGGTGTCACTCCTCAACAAACGAGCTTCGTAACGGCCGGAAAACCCTTGAAATTTGACCTGTGACTGAATGACGTCACGCGACTGCTAGGACTGTTCAAAGCCCCTTTTTATTTCGAACAGAATCTGCGTTATTTTTGACGATCTTGCAACTCTGCCGGGCAGTCGAAAAGAAAGCCGACCAAACATAACTGGCAATCGTGGTTTCTAGACAGCTGAGGTATAGTAAAAAGAAGCGCAATTTATCCCACAGAAAAAAACGAGAAGTTAAGGGACAGAACATTTCAGGTAAGTTTATATTAAGAGCAGTATTTAGCAGTAGTATATTTCAAGCACTAACTTCTCACTCGTTGGACCCCTGAAGCCTGTGGCTACTTGTGTGTGAACTCTCGTGCGAAGATCTTTGGCAATAAAATTTTTAGTAAATGCGAGCCAGGCTCAGTGGTCGCTACAAGTAAGCCTTCTATATCGTCAAGATGCATCAGAGTTTTTGAGTAACGATCATTGCTGTGCATTATAGTTACATATGGCAGGCATTCGTGCATATTTTTATATCATCCTGCCATTTCTTCACTTTTGTTTAATTGGCCTGGAATTATAGTTAAATATAGGTATTAAAAAAAGGACGTAACCTGGACATTTCACAACATATTAATTATATACCGGTACATACCGGAATCGTACTATAAAAAGCGTCATGACGTAAATGCCCTAAAAGATTATCTAACCAGTTATTCAATTTAATGAGTACGTGGTTTCCGAAATGAAAAAAGCGTCTAAGGTGGACTTCTTGTGTTAGCAGACATTTCCTGATAGCTCTGGTGTCATGCAGTTGAATCACGATTGAAAATAGGTTCAGGTGTTACAAATAAATTTATTATATCTTCAGATACACCGTAGTTTATATCGTACGTATCGAATTATATTAGGTAAATGAGATTTACTGAGTTTAGCCGATCTAAGAGGAGGAGTGCATCGCTTAACAGTTGCATAAAAGATCGGAGAGGCGTCACTGCAGTGTACAACAATTACTGAGTGTTCTCTGAAGACGCAATTAACCCCCTAATTAGGGTGAAAATTCATTAACGGAGTCAATTAGATTCTCGACGGACCAAGTCATCCGTGTTTTCCCCAGACCTCAGCTACCGCAGCCGAAAGCCTATCCAGGCGATTCGGGATTCGTCGATGATGGAAAAGCGAGAAGCGCGTGCCTGATCAACCCTCTATGTCGTATATGACGACTCGATCATCGACATCATTATCATCGCCGTCAACAATTAGTATCAAGTAATCACTTGTATGTATAGGTGTCTGTCACCTTTCTACATGACTGGCTCTTGGCGACGACGGAGGCATTGTCAGGGTCTTCGGTTTAACTAGACTGATTCACGCCGCCTGAGGGACCTCACCAGGAAAACCGTCAAAGTAAACGGTACTCTTAAAGCGGAAGCGCGAAAAAAAGCGAGGTCCTTTGTCTAGCTATAGCAGCAACGGTAATAGCATAATTGGCTATCAGAGGCAATGCAAAAATAGCACCGCCATAAAGATGGGTATTCATAGTGTTCTCGCTATCGTTCGAAGAAGACTCTATTTGGATTGTTACCATGATTCAATAAAAGTGGCCTAAGTCGCGACAGATTGGGATCCGAGTTCAGCTGCGCATAGAGTCCAATATAAAAATAGTACGTGTCTGTCTCATAATACAAAACTAGATCATTTCTCAGTATCAGCAGTGAAATCTTACACGTTGAACACGACCTTTTTACAAGGCCTTACAAACTATTCAAGGTGTAAATATGTATACGTATATATATCTGGGGTACCCAGATAAACTGTTCATATGTGGTGGCGCACATATTTCTGCGGTCTGAATTTACGATTGTTTTTAGTTAATTTGACTTTTAAAGCAAACATACGGGGTGGTATATTGTCAGTAAAAGCAAAATAATTTTCTTCTCCTATATCCAATGGCTTCCATAACTATTAGACGGGACCTATACGAAACCACTGAATGTATTTCTCTAGTAGCATTTCTCTCATTAGAAATAGCTGTGTTCATTGTATAAATTAGTATGAGTGAAAATAGTGAACACCTTAGGCGAAACGGGTCAAGACAACAAACTATCCAATCCTCATTCTTTTACTTCCTTTTTGTTTTGCTGTGAATTGAAGCTGTCTGTTGACAAGGTTGCTCCTTTTATCTCTTTTACAGCATGCACAATAGCCTTCCAGATTGCCCTTAATGGGTGGACTTCAAGAGTTCGCAGACTGTTCTTAAACATCACCTGCATTTTTGTTCTTTTCGTCAACAAAGGAGGAGGACTACAATAAACTTCAAGCAAAAATAGCTACAACACAGCTGAGTTTTACGTAATTTTGTGTATCAACCGTTATAAACATGTCGGTGTAAGCTGGTCACTAGTTGTTCAATTGTGACTGTATAAATGAAAAATACTGCAATCAGCATAATAGCCATGTTTACTCCTCAGGCCCTTTGGCGCCCGGCATTGCCATTTGGACGAATTAAAGGAAGCAACCGGCTACAAGCTAGCCCCTTCTGGCTCTTTCGTTCTTGCCCTGTCAATGAGGTGTTATGAAGACCAGAGTATGTTAGTGGGGTGAAGTTGTGAAACTGGGTACTAAAAGTTGTAGCAGTTGCATAGTTCGCCCATTACACGACTGCTAGCAGGCGACGCTGACGACAGCGGTGAGTGCAAATCGATGATGACTCTTGTATTGCATCTGAAGACCGCACTTTCGAAACTTTGCTTGTGTCCGCTTGCACACGGGGATAACCTATGCTAGTTAGCGTCAGCTTGCCAGGTATCCTTATTTAGGGGTCTGACCAGAAAGATTACTAACCAGTAGCAGGCGACGACGCAGAGGTTTAGCAAGTGAGATCCTGTTCACTGGTACATCTGCTATTCTGCGAGTGTGCTGATTTCATCGAGGGGGTAACGGACCGGCAGGACCCCGTCTGTGGGGTATAGATGGCTACGTAGAACAATTTTCCGAGTTGAATGAGTCAAGGGAGCGGGTGTACAACGTGAGCTGCCGGTTGCTGCTATGGGTTTTTCTTGTATGTATGAATATGGGATAGGTACGATAACAAGAAGAAGAGAAAACGATGCTTAAATATAAGTTTGCATGGCTGCGCCAAACAGAATGGGAGAGACATGAGGGACGGAAATGGGTATAAAAAAAACAGTTATGCGTCGACGCTTGTAGAGACGAGACAGTTTTATACATGTCTGTATAGATAGATATATACCTTATGGTACGTGGCGTACTTTTGTGTCTGCTAGCTTGATGGAAACAAGATGAATACATAAACGAATGCACTTGCTCCTATTCCCTATGAAGAGCTGTCCCATGACACTGTCATAATGCTGCTATAGAAGTCGGTAGACAACAGCAGTTGTGTGAGGTTACATAGCTATCTGCTAGCGTGGAGTGATATATAGGAAATCAAGCACTCCTCTTTTAGCTAAGTAATACAGATCCGTTAAAATGAACGTTATTATTTCATTATCAAATCAGCGTGCTAAAAGGGAGTGGCGCTTGGTACACTTATCTGGTTATGTGGTCAAATGTGTTGTCCTTTGCAATGTATAAAGACAACAATTTTAAGGGTCAGTTCTAAGGGCGAGAGACAAACCTAGTCAACTTGCCTGCATGCTCTTAATGACTTTCATCTTTGTTATATGAAAAGTGTAAGATATAGCCTGAGAATATATGATGTTACCGGCTCCGATATCACATGCCGTTCTATCAAGGCTGCCATTTTGGTAGAGGTCCTAGGATGGCCGTTATAATAATCAATTGCCACTGTTTACCGCGTCGTGTGTATAGATATCTAAAGTGAACTACTTTTATTTGCATTGCTCTCTGATTTTGTTCGAACAGCACGGATTGAGCCCGCTTCTGGCTCACTGAATCCCGTTTATAAGTGGGGCATGCCACGGCGTGAAACCTCATCAGAATTCATGGTATCGAATTTTTTTTTCTTTCCATTAGATATGCTCAGCGGAAATCAGTGTGCCGATAATAATACGACTTCACACTGGGTAGCGAATTCACGACCGTAACGTTTTTGGATTATAGTCACAAGACAGTATCCATTTCCAAAAACCAGGCCGCTGGTACGCGGAAAAAACGCGAACTTTGCAAAGAAAATGTGACGGATATGAGTTGTATGAACACCAACATCTGAGACGAGTTATTTTCTAAGGGCTCTTACGTGTTTATATTTAGGGATAGAATCATGATAGCTTGAATGTTAAGTGGGGTATAGATTTAAGATTTTCGCTGTAATTCGATGAGTCTAAATAGTTGCCTTTTTTAGGACAGAGGCAAATTTAGAAATGGTTAATTGAACCTTAAAGTGCGAGGTAATACTAAGGACCTTCAATAGACGCAAAAGCAAATCATCAGTGAAAATAATGTATATGTAATAGTCAGATAATGTTAAACAATTTCGGAAGCAATCGGAAAATTACAAATTAAGTAATTTCCGAAACAAAGAAATTCGTACCGCTTGACAGATAAAGAACCCGTATTTATTGCGGTCTGGTATTACAGGAATGCAATATAATGTTCCCTGATCTTGTTCTTCCTTATTTACTCCTTGTTCCTACTTATCAAGATATACCTAAACATAAACAAAGCGACAGTTTATCAATATAATATCATTTGTCATAACCAATTATGCGGCGCATCTTCAAAGGGTGATTATAACTTACCTATGTAGAGTTTTGGTTTGCTCAGTCCTTGAAGCCAGCCATCTTTCGTTGAAACAATATCGCGCGACTTCTCAATAATTCATTCGATCCAACGTTCTATAGCATTTGTCATAGACTGTACCTATCCAACATCCATCAGAGTCCTTTTTCCTTAGAGGTTGAACTCCGGTCTGACCCCGAACTGAGCTGAATAGAAGCCTGTACGTTTGACGAACAGCGTCTCAAGCGCCATGGCCTAAGAAGATCGCGGCCAGTGCAATCGCTAGTCAAAACGATGCAACTGTCTGATTTGTATTTTTGCGTCATCAACGTGACGGCGACATTCCCAGCTCAATGCTTATGTTTTTACTTGATATTTCATAGTATCATAAACAACAGTAGCAGAGTCGATTTAAAAACATTATTTTTAAAGCTGTACTAAGGAGAGTGCTTATCATTTAGCCGACATGGTGTTGACTGAGGCATGGTCGATATGGTCGACGAACAAGTGGCACTCTATGAGCACGGGTGGTCAACACCGGAACGGAAGCCTCGGTGTCAATAGACAGACTTTACAGATCTCCTATAGCAAGTTAAAATTTGGGGGAACATTTGTTTCAATGCAAGGTTAATCTAAATAGCCCAAAACACGCTACGCAAGACAAACAAGATGGACAAATTAAAAAGCGATTATTTGCCGCCGGACTGTTCGGTATTGGAGAACTACTGAATTATAGCCATATAAATTGTATTTCCAAAGTACTGTCTAGACATCATATTTCAGTGGTCCCTTTTACCCCATTAGCTCCATAAGAACAAGCATGCTTCGCAGCGGTCACATTGCTACACGTCTACTAATAGACAGGTACAATGCAACATGTAGCGTAACATAATCTATTACATTTTACAAAATGTTAGTTTTTTAATTTACCATATTATATTGCTACATATGAAAGATGCTGTTTAGCGCGCGGATTCACACTTGGTGAAGCATAGAATTTCTCGCCTCATTTCAACCTCGAAAAGGTTGACATAAATCTGGCCATCTTGTCAGCGGCACGAGAGAACCAGCAATATGCTTTTCGTTTTCTACTTGGCAAATGGTTATCTCCTGATCGGTTCATTTTATTTACTAGACACTCATTGAGTTCGCTTGTACCCCGTTTTCCTCATGAGACCGATACGTTGGTTATTGAGCCCTTGAAGCATTCGCGTGTATGGGTTAGTATTAAAGAATTCTTCTCCAAGCGTCCATCAGGATGATATTTCGGACGGTCAACTAAGTAGGCCTGCTGGCTTTTTGAATATTTCCGTTCTATCCTAGTATAGTTATTAAGAAATTCAAATGGCTTTGTTCTACTATATTAATTTTTATACTTTCTGGTAGATATGCCTGAATTCTTTCAAGTAGCCTGAATATTAAATGCTATCTATACATATATTATATGTATAATATATATATGTATGTATATAATATAAGTCTTTACTAAAACATTTTTCTCTGGTAGAGAGCGTAGGAGTTAGATGAAGCGATTAGAAAGGTGCATTTGCGAATGCGGCCGCCTTTGAGGTCCCAACAAAATCTATTCTCTGGCTTGAGCCCCAATGGACCCTAGGTACAGGTAGAGATGCCAGCCTTGCAGATTAAGTAGAAACAGGCTGATATTAAAATGACTATAGTGTGAATCGTTTCGTTATAATGAGAAGTGCTACTCTTCGCGGGCGCAGAACGCAGATCAAGATCAAGGGAAACTGCCCAGTGCCATACAGGATATGTAGAAAAGCTGGTGTAGTTACCGCCTTTTCAGTCAGCGGTCAGTGCTTTTCGGGACTGGACAGACACGTGCGTAAGGGAACTGATTCATTAAAATGTCATGGTACTAAGACAAAAAGCCAAGCTTGGTTGCAGGAATATGGCTAAGCTGGTATCCCAGAAGAAAAATAGAAAGCTTGTGCCGTAAGCCAGTTTTGCTAAAATTGCGTGCACGTGTATCCGACAGGACTATTAGGAACTGAGAGGGATTTCCGTACTGATATGAATCAACTTGAGATATTTAGAAAGTTTCATGAATAGGGGATATCAAGCATAATTGAAGCAATCAGCTCCGTGCTGTTTTTTGAACGGGTACATGACCTGACACGAATTTAATTAAGTCAAATCCACACTGAAATTTACCTTACAAATACCTTAATATGGAAAACGCCAGCTTTGGAGATGTAGGTGTGTTTTCCTTTGGTGATGTAGGTGTAGATGAGATTTGTTCATAGAAATAAGCTGCTTTATTTTTGTTTTTGATACCGAAACAAAATATTACGAGAGGGCGTAATGTTGTCCTTTGGGTGATACGAGAAACTCTAATTGATTAATCGATCGTGCCTGACCAAAGACCTTTGCTTTGACTTTCAGGGAATGTTCAACCTTCTGGAGAATGACGTGGAACAGGTGTCCCAGCTCTGTGCACTCATGGAAGCGTTCAGTGATTACTACCAGCAATGTGCCGAAACTCTGGCGCAACTCACTGATAGACTCCAAGACTTGCGGCACGAGGCTTCGGCCAAAACGCGCGGCTCATTTGAACCCAAGAAGCTGCCAGATCTTGATCCAACTCCTCTTGACGCTAGTGCGTACCCACCCAATACCCATTCTCTGCCAATCGGTATTTTATTATATCTTTTAATATGTTTATAGCAGAGTTTCTTTATCTGTATATTTTTTGTTATCTACTATGAACGTTGAGCGATTTCGAAATCCTATCAATGGAAAATGCGTAATGGTGTCATTAGAGTAACTACAAGCGGACAATGTAATTTATTTTACCTGGTGGGCACACATCTCGGCTTTATTAAATTTATCCGTCGTGTCAGCTGGATAGATGTTATGCCAATTCTCGTGAGCTGACTTCCCATATGTTAAGGAGGAGACGCGTCTCATACTCAAACAGCATGCGAACAAAAGTTTTTAGAAAATACTTTTTTCCTAAATGGGATAAAGGTATGATTCTTCTACTATATTAGCAACTGAAAAAAAAAAAACATTTACGAAGTACGAAAAACCTCGTTTAGGGTTATAGTTCTTTCTCGCAATCCGTACACCGTTTCGTCGTTATCTGAAGTTTTTGGCCGAAAGCCAACTGGGTGCTCAAATCGCCTAGTAAAAACTACGTCGTTGAGGCCGGTGTAGCTTAGGTTTCGTCCGGTCTTAAAGTAAAGGATATTTCGAAAATGCAAGCGTGTCACAATGACTCGGTGCTAGGGCCCTGGAAGAACTGTTTCGGTTCGTCCGTGTGAAAGAATGGTACTTTGAATATAACAGCATTTTATGTAGTTGTAGCTTTACATATAAGTGGCAAGTTTGACTTTTTTTTCTATGAATACCTATCGGAATGTAGCATTCCTTACGAACCTTAAGGGAGGAAATAGCTTTTGTCTCGTTTGCCCACTATGACCATACTTATATAAAATTTGTTGGCCATCGGCGACGTTTACCAAAGAAATGACCACCAAATAACTATATTATATATAGAGTTAATGGCACTGCTGGATAAAACGTTGTGTCATAAGATAGGAATATTCAGCAGGGGACCACGATCCCAACGGGTTTGGCTCCATTGTGGCTCTCGCCAAGTGACTGACCGGGTATGACTGAATGGAAATCCGTTTCTTCGACGTAAACATCTACACGTATGGAAAGGACACTGCATTTTTCCATATGATAAAATCACAGCAGGAAACAGTGAATTTTCAATTGGTGATGTGACCGTTTGTTGGTTATCGAATCGGCCAAAGAACGAAAACGCAACACTGTCAATTAATTAGTTGGCTAATTTAAGAAAACGTTTTGACAATTTGTCTATTAATTTGGATATTTTCACATACAGGTCACGGTTGGTAACACGAAAACAATGAGACTTCTTCCTTAATTCAGTAGCTTAGCTGCTGTTGAGTTTCTGATAGAAATACGCCGTTTAGTAGACGCCGGCAGGTCCAGCGCCAAGATCGAAGCATATCAGCGTATCAAAAAACGCGCTTTCTAAGCCTGTGCCTCCTCGGCAGTCATAGCACTTTGTAAAGCGCCATAATTAGGTATAGCTCGGGCAATAAGCACATGCATTCAGTAGTAGCAGCGGCAGCGGCAGAGAAATGAAGCTGAACGAAATGAGGCAAAGGAAACAAAGGACATAAAATAAGTTCTCCTAAAACGTGATGTTTGTGTCTATTTGTCCAAGCCCCTATACCGTACGTGTGATATGTACGCATCTTAGTCTGGTTCTACTGTTAATTCCGTGCGAAACCCTGAATAACCCCAACCCCACTTTATCTTTCTCTTTTTTTGTTTGGATTTCGTTACGTACTGTGATGATACTTCTAGGGGGGCGCAGTCTATCATCCTACCATAACGCTACATTTGCCGCGGCCGAGAGCTGTAAGGAAACTGCAAATAAGTTAGCGTTTGTAATTGATATAGCGTGTAGCAGCGCCAGTAGTTAAAGTCAGTCTGGACTAGAGAAGTTGTTTAACGTAAAAATATAGAACGCAAGTACGACTATCATTACGAATGCCACTACGCTATGCCTATGGCTAAACAATTACAGGCATCACCACCATAGCTATTCCTATAGTGATGAAGTGAATGTGCGCAGCTTTTCATTTTGAGCCTTCGTAGCGAAACGAATAGGTAAGAAAAAGCTCGCGTTTGTCACTACCGCATTATCTCTTATACTTCAGATGGTTTAGCGGGAACAGATACAGTTTCAGTAAAGGGAAACAGTTCTGTAGAGCAGTGTAGTAGTAGTAGTAGTAGTAGTAGTATTGATCTGCATTGTGGAAATTCGCTAGCAGGCTGGCCAACTGTAGGTAGCCGATAATCATTGATTCGCTCTGTCATTAGTACATGAATAATGTTAATTGGTATCGGCACGGGTGCGCTACCCCCCCCCCCCCCCTAAAGAAGAACTTCATACATTCGACACTACAATGTTAATTGATTAGTGTCCGTACCTTGCTGGCACGTCCTTGTCTTGCCCCAGCTTCCACTTCTGTGCCTCAGCCCTAATTGCCGCACCTCATTTTAGTCGTAGAACTGTAGAACGCCATTAGCCGTGAGCTGTGTAGATTGCTTGTCTAGTGCGAATCATATCCTCATTGCCTCCTGTGACTGTCTTTTTACACTCGCTTACCTGGCACGTACAATACGCCATTCTCGTTGGTTTCTACGAACGTCTCTGAATTTCTATGACAGGCCACATTCGACAATCAGTCTTAAAGAACGACTTTTTTTCTTTAGACATGATATAGCAAACTTTCTCTGAACGCTAGACAGGGTTTTCTTCTCGGTGGGGGGGGGGGGGGGGGTCCGAGTTCTGTTTTAGACTGAAGCCACCTGAGGCGGACTGATTGGCATGAAATAATTATATGTCTGTTTTCTTCCTAGAGTTAGCTATTCACTTACTAATGCACTTTAGTATGTTACGTATTGCTGCCATATGTTGATTCGCGCCGATTTAATTGTTAACTTGTACTTGAAGATAATGTCAAGTCGATGCGCTTGTTACGACAACTGGCTACATGGTCACTAATTTCGACGTCCTCTATAGAACATTACTATACAGCTCTCTAGTGGGTGAGTGTCGATCTAAGGACATCTTTACTTTTTACCTTTCTACTTGCTATAGCAACGTGGTATGTCCTGAGAAAAGACTAAGGAACGGCAATGACATCTACAAGATATAACGGGTTTGCTGGTACCAAACGTATACGTTTTTCTACCTCATATTGGAAAGAAAGCATACCCTTCTTCTATAAGCTTTCCTCGCATAATTTGTGTTGTTCTGATAGATAAAAGCTTACGCGAAGATAAAGACGTTTATCGAACGTGTGCGTTGTCTGCTTCAAAGCTAAAAATGTATGTCTGGGTCAAACTGTTTCCACTGTCCTTCCATCAAACCTCTCTACTGCACTTCGGACTATATTCCGTACTAACAAAACCATATTTACACAGCGTGCAAAAGAGAAGTGTACCACCTACCTGAAGATCGTTATCTAACGCGTGACGCTGGGTTTTTTCTGCAACAATTCCCATGTAAAGTCCCACTCTCCGCAGTTACATGCACAAGGTGACATCTAAACAGCCCACGTTCTAGACTTGAATATTACCGACTGTTTACTGAAAGCAGGCATTCTCGATTTTTATTGCCGTTGCTGTTGGGAAATGTCCTATTCTAACAAAGACTAACCTTAAAACAATTGGCTCTTTTACTTCTTTGTCGCTTTCTTTTGTCTACAAATCCGGCTGTTGTCATTACTGCTTTATCCGGACCACTCATTTCTCGTTGCGGTGCCTCGGCCGTCGCTCTGCATTTACCACACTTTTCACATCGCCTCTGTGTCAATGTGCACATCTATATCTGATCGGCACACCTTTGCATCTCTGTATCCGGAACCTTGTTCCTGCTGCCCACCTTCTGTGGAATCGAACCGCGTCATGCATCATGCCGCATCATATCAACTGCGTGTACTCGGTCCGGTTCTGCTATCCATTCCGGATCTTTACGACGAATCCTGCTGCTGCTGCTGCTTCTTCAACGACTCCCATAGGCCGGTCGCCCCTGCCCTCTCCGGGCTGCACGGTTCCTGGTCAGCAGGCAGGAGGCAACATGTACCTGGGCAACTTCAATCAACAGAAAAACGCCAGGTCCCCAAATGGTACGAGTGCAAACGACAAAAAATAAACAAAGCAATATGCAAATAGACAAAAAGCGACTGTATGGATAAGTATTTTGCTAAAATAAATATACAGTTCCGCTCTTTGCCGAACGAGGCATCCTGCTGACGAGGAATATGGAGGGGAGGTCCAGTCAGCAGTAAATGGAAGCTTCAATGCGACTTCACGACAAATGGAACTGTTGTGTTTTGTTAGTGTTGTGATCGCTGTAGCTGCTGGTTTACAAGGGAAAAACGCGCCTGTCTATCTGACTGGCCGAAGTGTACCCATGTATGCCAGAGCGTAACGTTTATCATTGTCTTAGTAAGTAGTCATCGCTCAAGCTCACCAGTTCAGCTTGCTTCATCTCGAGCCGATAAAGGCAAATGAAAATAGAACAAACGACATCATGGCAACCTGGCACATTTACCCCTACCACGCTTGCGATACATAAAAATGTTGAATATATATGTATATATATATATATATACATATATATATATATATACATATATATATATATATACATATATAATGTCTCCGTGTCGCGTAAGAATCAAAAACAACCAGCACAGATCGTTATTGCTATTATAACAGTTATCTACTTAAATCGATGTCTGGGGATGACTATAGTCGGATGATCGTGCAGAGAGAACGTAATACGCCCACGCGTGTGTGCCTGGTAAAAAAGCAAATGAGCATGCTTCTGACACGTTTTCAGTTATCCAACGAAGCGTATGAAAGTTCACAGTCAAGCGACCAGCCGTTCCCCCTCGCACTGCCCGATCGCTTGTATGCTTGTTGACGGCCATGATGATGGATTAGTTTTACAATGGCAATATTTCGTGTTCTTCACGACACAAGCTTGGTTTAAGCCTGTTTTGTAGCTGGTTTTAGTTGAAGGTGGCCAATGGTTCTTTCGTTGTATGTTCCAAGTGTTCAATCGTCATAAAGACATGGCCTGCAAGCTTCGTATGTATGCGTGTAAATGCTACTATTAGCCTTGTATAATCTTCTAGTTGTTTTTTTTCAATTTCTGCTTCATAACACTATGTGCACAGGTCCTTCAATGCATCAAAGAAAGGGCCTTTGTTGCACCTGTTTTTCCACATATGCTTCCTCTCCCACACTTACTTCTGTTCTAATTTTAATGTTTTTACTTACTGATAATGTTATATCCTAGCCTATGCACGCAACTAGCCAAACTACTCCTTGACATGAATAAGATTTAAAAAAAAATGGGCCAGATGGCTTCGACGACGTACAACACGAACGGACGCACCCCGTAGGGCCATTAGAACTGCTTTTCTATTTACTAAAGGCTTGTTTTGTACAATAGATATTAGAAGCTAGTTAAACGTAACATAGTGTTTCCCTCATTAGTTGGTTAGAAAAGATTCTTCTTCACACCTCTTTCATAGGAAATATATTCGCTCCGCACTTAACGACATCTATACACGAACACGCAGCAACCCCACTTTACGTGCGGAAACTGTGGTGCGCTTCGCTTTCATGGCAGATAGACCGCGCAGAGTACACACAGAGAGAAAACCAGATGAACGTGTCGGTGTTTTACCTACCAAAGTGTTATTTCTTCGTAGTAGTGTTGCGTTTATGCTGAACCCGAAGACTAACCACCTGTTGAGCTTATTAATCGCCCGTGTTAAACACAAATGCTTCCCACCATGAATGATATAGCTTGTGGAAGGCCTCTTTATTGTCCTGACGGTATCGTAGGTCTAAGCAATCAAATGACGTTAAAATCTAATAGTAGCAGGGGCAGATAATTAGAATACCGGCGGCGTGCACTAAGGAACTTAATAAGTTAGCAAATCGTCAGTAGCTGGAAGCGTATTCACTCAGCGTTTTGTTCTAGATACACAGTAGATGCCATAATAAATATTCTTAGTATACACCCATGGATCGACGGTGCTAGCCTATTCATCCACTTTTCTTTGGGTAAAACATCTGTATTTATAAAAAGGTAAAAAGAACGTGGCAGGCTTTGGTTTAGATCTTTGTGGTAAGTAAGCGGTGCCAAGCATGCTCGACAAGTCGCTTAACGCAAGGAAATCACCGATTCGACACTTCTTATAAACTATATTTATCTACTTCGTGTGCGAAATTGTTTCTGGAGCGAAGTTTACGTAAATAAAAAATCCTGTTCACAGTTTTTTTTTCGTTTGTACTTTCTGGCATAGTCTGAATTCGTCTCCAACAAGGAGTCACCATACAGAGGGATAGCTACACTAGCTTCGTCAAAATGATTATAACCACCCCAAAACGTGTTCTTTCACAGTCTTATTCTTTTTAACCACATTCACCGGTCACCTCTGACTAGCGTTCAGCCGTCCAGTGGTCTAACAGGTATTTATTGTTCTTATTTGTTGATACACGAATTCCTCAACGGCACACACGGGGTCTCGTGCGTCCGCAACTGGATTCATCTTGCCCTTCGCTGGTTGTAGCATCACCGATTCCGTCACCAATGCGTTCACCCGCGGCGCCCTCTCCGCCTGCCCAGAAACGGCCGTGTTGCCAAGCGTTATACGATTTCAGTGCAGAGAACCCAGGAGAACTAGAGTTTAAGGTAGAGGTTCAATAAGCACACAGTCCCCTCTAACCAATTGAGAAAAGTGACACGTATATTCCTTGAGCTATTTTACCTAAAAACATTGAATTCTTATATCGTTTGGCTTTCTATTGAATTTGTTACTTACTTACTATGAATTGATGTTTTTGTAAACTTTCTTCGTTCTAGGAGGGTGACAAGATCGATCTAATTCGTCAGATTGATGCAAACTGGTTTGAGGGCTCGATAAACGGTAAATCTGGCCTATTCCCGGTCAACTACGTTGACGTGCTCGTTCCTCTGACATAAGGCTAGCGCCTATAACGCTCGTATTTAGAGGCTCATTTCTGTATGGTGTACCACATTTCTGCGTAACCAGGCAAAATAGGAAGATTTGGAAGAGGCTAGGACGTGCATATGGAATAATGCTTAACCTAATGATTTGTATCAGGAAAAAAGGGTTCATGTATGAGTTTGCAGCGACTAGTATCGTTCAATAAAATAAGTTCATGTGGTTACTACCAAGCGAAGTGGTGTAACTTCAACGTCAACGAAGGCAGCGTATGCCATCCTACTTATGACTTACCGCTATGACGACGATAACGATAATAGCCTGCAGAGGAACGAGAACGGATCAGCGGGAATATTGACGATATAGGCAATGACGCGCCAGCAGTGAACTTCTGAGTAGACTTCTACTCTCATGATTGAGTTATGTAGATGCTTCGGTACAAGCAGTAACCAAAACAGGCAAACCAATCTACTGCGACAAATAATTATAATGCGATGTAAGTATGGTCTGTAATGTTAAAAACAATGCAGTTTCGTTTTTCATTCCATAGATAACCTTTTTCCCCTGTGCCAGTTGTGCAATACGTACGTGTCCTTAGTATGTATCGAGCCGGTGGCCCTGCTTTGGTCTCTAAAACCATGTGCTTTTAGATAATACAAGAACACTTTCTCATAGTAGACATGGAATATCAAATGCTTGCGCACTTACAACCTTTACATCAACTTGCAAATCTTATATAAGCGGTTCCTTTGTAATAGAACGCAGTATAAATTGTATCCACAGAAATAAACACAAATATAGGAGAAATGGTTGATCAGTGCAACAGACTAAAGTGAAACTTGCGATATACTTTGTGTAGAGATTGATCTTTGATATTTCGGTAAGATCCCTTTTGCTCTTGCCCCCTGTAATTGATATTGCATTGTGTACATATTATGTATGAGATACATATTATTAATAAAACATTATATCAATAGCAAATATGCAATTAAATTAAGTTTTATTAATAGTCCTTACCAGTCCTAACTACTACTAATATTACTGAACTTACCTTCTTCTGTGTTTGTGTGTCTTTCCCACTTTCAGCTTCTCGCTCGACAAACTCTGCTATATTAAATATGGCGTCTCTCTGTTAGCTTAGCATCTCTTGCACTGATAATTACGGATTCTTTAGCAACGGATTTAATTGTTATCGTCCTCCCTGAACGGAAAAACGAACGCTAATTATTAAGTTCAATAATCACATTTTTAGATCGGGTGATAATAATTATTCTGGCTTTTACTATACAAAAACATATACCCTATATAGATTAGTACAATACTGCTTCAGATCTGTGCCCTGACAGAAACCCATTCATCAGCGCAACCGATCTCCACGTCCTTTTGTTCTCCCTTCGACGACCACGCGACGCGTCCGGCAACTTGCGACTCTTCCATCCTCAAGTGCAACAAGCTCTATCTTCAGAGTCCAAGCGCAGGCTGCATGGCCGATTACGTTCGGCTGATCCGGAAGTGTATCGTGAAGACGACACACAGATACAAATAATTGGCAGCTGTTAAAGTGCTGATTTATAACGAACTAACATTCGATAATACTGAGTTTTCACACAGTCAAAAGTTTAAACCTCGCTTTTTCTCGATCTAGAACTTGACAAAGAGAATGAGGTTCGTAGAGGTAGGCCGGATTCAGCGGGAGAAGGAAAAGAAAGGGGCAAATAAGTGTACTAAATCGTAACGATTCTCTAATTCAGTTGTCCGTCTTAGATGTGATTGTTTGAGATGAAAGATGGTGCTTGTCACGAACGATCTTCAATATAAGATAAAGGCTTACGGACTTGGTGAAGATCTTCTTAAGTAGGCACAATGATGACTATTGATATAAGGAAGATGAAAGTGCGCGATAATCTCCGACCTACAATAATGAAGCGGTTACGGCTGGCACGTTGAAGCAAACCTTTGATATTCATTTTGCCTATGACGATATAACAGCAAACATTTCGGGTTGAGGGTCTCACGAGAACATTGTCGATAACGCTCTTCGGCGTCCCAAAACGTTTTTTCATTGATTCGCTACTCTCCTTCGTTGGTGTTTTTTTTTTTTGTCTAAAGCGAAGTATGTATGTCTGTCTGTCTCATTTCAACGCTGTATGCTCTCTACTTGTTTTACCTTTGTTCTTACAATACTCAATAGGAATCCATCGCTAGTCCATGAGAACTCTGGCTGTCTAGCTTGTTTTTGCTAGTTTTCTCGTTGCGGGATGACGAGCGTCGTCGTTACGTGCTACGTTGGACATACAGTGTTATACACGACGACATGAGAAAGTGTGACGTGACAACGAGGACCGATTACTACAGGACCAATCGTACCGTGAATATACTTTGAGAGATCTGATACGCATTTTTTTCTAGTTGTAAAGAGAATATCTTTGTATTCGTAACATAATTTATAATGGCTGTATAATACTACAGGGAGTAGACGTTTGTGGGACGCTTCATGAGAGAACACACAACAGCATCAAATAATAAGGCCAACAAGGGTCATATTTAGTGCCATTGGTGACATGAACTTGCGATGAGTCGGCGTTAGTCTGTCTGACGAATGATGTACTGAACAATGCGTGGACTATTGTCTGAGAAACCTGATTGCAATAGAACGACGGCAGCCGGCCGCGAGTATGCTTGTCAGTTATTGGTCACCATTATGATTTGTAGTAATTGAGCGAACCGTGAGCGGCAGGCATAAACCCTAATGAGCTGGGAACGTAGCGGAAAAACCTGCTAAAATCAGATGCTCAGTTTGAACGGTGATAATAAACTTGTGAGGTGCTAAACATGATTATATGACTGATGGTGATCGACGTACCGTGAGAACTGCTCAGCCCGTGGGCGTATCGTGTTCTGCAATATTGCGGGTTTTTAGCAGACCTAACGCGCCGCAACCGAAATGAACATCTTACGAGGAGAGCCCCCGAAATCTAGATAGAGCCAAACAGAGAAAGCTGCCTTGGGAGGCCATCGGGTTGGCCAGGACTTTCAATAGAACGTTAACATTATTATAACCTCCGTTTGTTGGACAAATAATAATAATAATAAATATACTGACTCACGTCAATAAAATGGAACAATGCTGAACTAAGACGATTATTGTACTAAAATGATGAACAGTGATATCTGTCGTGAAGAATAGTTTTATTAATGCGTTTAACTAAGGGAAGATAAGACGAAGAAGAAGAAGAAGAATAATATTGAGGAACGAATCACATATATCGATTACGGCGATATATAAAAGAATAGATCCTTCACGTTCTGTGCAAAAAACAAAATACCTTCGAGTAATTATAATGAATTAATGAAAGTATTCCAGATCTAGTAAGCAGTTGTTCTTATCGAAAGAAAACAGCCAACGATGTAACCAAATAGTGATGGTGGCAAGTCAAATGGTAGTAACAACAACAATGCCGATCTAATATTAATAAAAATGACTATGAAACGTGGCAAATCTAAAGAAAAGGAAGACATGAAAAGCCTACAGATACATATATATATATATATATAGCGCTGATAGAACCTATTAGATATACCAATCAATAATTGTCAAATATAATTTTAAGAGAAAAACGCTCTCGGTCACTACAGCAATGATTAATTTCGTCATAGAAATACATCCATGCATGCCTAATATATACACGTAGACGCAGGCCGCGAATGAGGTTCGACACATTGACTTTACAATCGACAATTACTACTAATAAAAAAAAAAAAAAAAAGATAAAATAATGTCAATGTTGTACGTACGATCGTGCTTGCTACTCTACGTATCTGCCAGAGCCCATAAACAAATTCATTCGTTCCTTCACTAAGCAACCTCGATCTACCCTTCACGCCCTGTTAACTTACCCAGTAGAAGCCTATTAAACCTACCCACCTGTGATCTCCGTATGAGCTACGAAAGACAAGACTTGACTTAGACAACGCGGCAATTTCCTCTCTCAATATTTTCCTTTCTCAATATTTTGTTTCTCTAACCGTTTTGAGGAAAAAATTGCCAAAGAAACTTTTTTGCAGTCGAATCTCTAAAAGCGCCCTGACGACTCGTTAGTCACTCCGCAGGCCGCATCAAGGCGTAACCTTGCCGCTGTGAACATTCTGTTGGACGGCGACAAGGTTATCGCTGAAGATATATAATATAAGAGAAGAAATCAACCGATTCTGATAGGCCCGAGCTCAGCATGGCTATGCAGAATGTGTTCAGTTATTATGTTTTATAACAAAAACAGAGATTTGTATGGAAAGACGTGCTTTCTCCTCCCTCGAAACCCTAGTTTTACGAATCTAGTCAACTTCTCCGAGACTCGCGCACGTCGCAATGAGCCGAGCAGTAAACAAGAACAACACACACAAAGCACTACCCAAACATGGCAATATAGCAAAACTTCTCGGACTCACCGCTCCTAGTGGTCCCCGAACAAAGGATCCCTTAGCAAGTTCGATATCGACCGAAATGCACCTGCGATTTTTATCTACAACAGTTTTTGAAGCAATCCCAAACGATCTGGCAAGTTTATATATTAAGTAACACGAACACTGATGTTAGTTGACACACACACACAACACTGATGCTACACAGTTGAAGCTACAATAGAGCTTAAGTTGACAAACGCAGGCTGCTATCAGTAACGATTCCGTTGCCATAAATCATAGCGACAGCAGAATACGAAATACAACTTCGATGATGTCAACAATGGCAAGCATGATGATAATAATAAGTGCGATGCTGGCAAGATTTGTCATGACATATGATAGAACAATACATACTATGAATATATTACCATATTAAATAAACACTTATATTATGAAGACTATAAGGGAGAACGCATATGGACATTGTTCTATAATGTCTAATTACTTTATTCAAGTAACTTATGGTGTTAATTCGCTCAAGCCCTCGAGCGATTATCGACCCCCCACTAACTGACACACAACCGATTAACTTTTCCTCAAAACTTGACGATATATAAAGGTAATTAGAAACGTCAAAGCATACGACCGACTCAACGATAGCCAATCGGAAGTCAAGTATGACTTTTACCCTACGATGGATCTTCGCGCTTCTCTGGATTATTTATAACTAAGCAAACACTAACAATGAATAGTAAGATCACCATGTACGAAGATTTGATATTGTCAGAATAGGCCATCGAATGGATGAGAATTATAATGGTAACCACGTATCTGAAGATACAACAAGCACATCATATAATGACACAGACTTGACATTGGCAGAGACAATGACTAACAGAACGAAAATGGAAACAATATATACATGTACATCGGTGAAGATAACCGTGTTTTCACTAGACGAAGGCCCACGCAACGCGTCACAAGGACGACCTTGCATGACCTCCGACGCCGGAGAGTAACAAGTGCTGTTGTTTCAGCTACATGAACTGGTAGACTAGATAAACGTACTAGCAGCAGTAAACATTTTTCGCGTCCGTAATAATAATTATCTGAGATTACTACTAAAATCTCTTTGATAATTTCTATCTTAGGATGTATGCTAATAAAGGCTAGCGGCATAAAACTAACCCATTGACAATAATGAAAAATACAGTAAATAAATAACATGCTAAAAGTAAAACATAGTAGTTATACCGCTATATAATATACTAATTATATATATATATATATATATATATATATATATATATATATATATATGTATAACGTAGCTAAAGTAAAAGATGAGTATATTTTTGGTCCAGTGCCTTACGTCCGTAACGTGCGTTGTCATCAGAAATAAGAGACTACCCCGATGGGCTTTAAAAGCTGCCTGTCAAACCGATATTAGCCCCATTTCATTGTCGCCGTTATGGTTCGAACTCGCACCTTGATTATTGCGCAAACGCTTCCGTTACGTTTCGATGTCTTTGCTATAGGATTTAGACTTTTCCACTGGGCCTAACATAGCTACGAATCCGTCTAAAGACTTAAACCACATAAAATAGAGGTATATAGCATAAGATAGATAACCTTTGAATCTATATCTGAAGCATCGAAATGTTTAGTCATGAAAAAGTCAGAGAAAACTACATGTTGGCAACGTTACATGACGTCTTTTTTGCCAATGCCAAAAAAAACGAGCTAACCGCAATCGGACGCCAGATGGTCGTCTTCTGTGATCTTAAGGAGTGCGGTAGACGACGCAGACGCTATCAACTAGCAGAAGTAAATGACAATGAACCGTCCATCAAACGAGCTTCTTGGCTTTTAATCAACCTCGTGCGGATCGATATAACTTTGACATTTGAAAGTTTCATTAAATCCTACGCGATTCGGAACCTGTGGAAGCCAGGGCTGCGCAAAGTGACACCGCGACGATGGAACATCAACGCTGGTCGAGTTCAGACAATTTAGATTGCTTAGTAAAAAGCTAAACGAGAAGCGTTTGTCACAATGTTATCTATTTATGTACAATGCAGACATTATCTCCGCTCTAATATTTGCTCATCACGATCATCTGATGTGAGTTTACTAAAGACAAAATTCAAGTATTCCATCGAGCTAGTCTGGATCGCGTCTGCTTTTGCATATCGCACACCACCGATTACGTCAAGCTTCCAGCCGATTTGTTTGTATATTTGTCTGCTTCTACTCTACGTATTATATACGTAATGTTGTTTTTCACAAACTGCCACGAGTCGTTTTATTAAACACTACGGAGGGTACATTAAGGCCCATTTCAAGTTTGGCTATGGCCTTATTCCGATTTTCATCGTGTTGTTCTTATTAGGTTTTTAACCTTTCACTTGCCCGAAACAAGCGTTAGCAGGCGCATTGGCTTATCCCAGTTAAAAACAGTGTGATACGAGTGGACGCCTAAAGATGCATGAGAAATTGTATGCAGTAGAAACTTAAATAACATATTAGATAAACGGCTCGAAATGTACTTCAATTTGGCTAGCTGTCTCGTTCCGCTTTGAAGCTTAGATAAACAAGCTTCAGCGCATTAAACATTAACACTGTTACATGTGGCGGGGAAAGTCTCCCGTAGCAAGCAAACAAAAAAAAAAGTAAAAGTGCATTTTATGAGTCAGCTAGCTGACCGAAACGTTGTCCTCTACCCAACCTACCAGGAACAGGTTGTCGTACTAAATAAACACATACACACGCAAGATGGTTACGGTTGGGATCATCCAAGGATCAACAGCTTTGCGTGTCAAGTAACTTCTTTCATCTTTTAGACAGAGAGTAGACATCCAGCCGAGAAATAATGTTATTGTTATTACGAGGTATGTGAGCACAAAAACAAACCTACCAGCGTATACCTATATGTGGTGTCAGCGATAGAACATCGTATGATTCCAGGATCGATAAGCATTAGCATTGTTGCGTACAGAATTTACGGCTTATGTGCGTTGTTCGTATATCCCGTCCGTTTCTTTCGAGGTACGACAAGACGGAAATAACAGGAAGAATCTGAAAAGCGGGAACTTGTAGCAATCGACAGCGGGACGTCTATGAAGACTTAAATCTGTTAGATCTTCATGCATATATATATATATATATAACGTGAAGCATGGATATGTCAGAACCAATTTTGTTGCTTTCACCAACGAAATGTCAATAATAATAATAATAATAATTACTATTATTACAAAGATGATCAAATTAACAAACAATGGCAAATTGTCAAGCTCGCCATTGTGGAGATACTGGTCCATGCAAACAATGCCATTAGTTGGTCGAACACATGGAAGAGAAATAGATGATCGTCATAGACCTTATTCTCAATTTATAAAAAGGACAAAAGGATGTGGCAAGGACAGATTAGAAATTAGCGATAGATTAGTAGCGATGGTGGCAACCGTTTGTGTTGTTGCGTCTTTGCCCTATTCGTAACAACACAATATAATAATTATCAATGTTTTTTTGTTGTCAGTATTAACAAGCGGTGCTATGCCACTTACTACTTCAATATTGTTAGTAACCGTAATAATCGATAATATATTACGAAGATCTCCCAGTGCCATATCATTTAGTTCGGCTTGAACAACGGTACTTGCCATAAATGAGACTCTATTTTAATTTGTAACTGCATCTTTAAGCTGTCTCGCATATTTCCCTTGTGATGCC